AAAAAAAAAAAAAAAAAGCCAAGCCAGGGGAAAATGCCCCATTCCAGGGCATACTATCATGTGAAGGATTTGCGTGTGGTAAGGGGTGAGAGGTGCAAGCTCTGGGAGGGAATTTGGGTGCAGGAGAAAGTAGAAAAGGGGATGCTGGCTCGGGGAGGGGGCTCCAGGCTGGAGAGTGTTGGGGTCAGGTAGAGGGCTAGAGTGCTGAGCAAACCACAGGCTTATGGATGTGAGGGTGCATGATTTAGGGTTGGGGTACGTGAGGGGCTCAGGGCAGGGAGGTTGGGAATATGATGGGCTCAGGATGCAGATTTGCAGTGTGTGGATGGTGCAGTAGTGTTGTGGCAGAAGACTTGGGATGTGGGGGTTCAGGAGTTTGGGGATGTGAGAGGGGCAGGACAGGGAGTTCAACTCGGCTCAGGTTTGGAGTCGGGGGGTGGATGCGGGAGTGTTATGATGCTGCAGCCAGATGGGGGCTTGGCTCCGACTGGCCAGGCTTCATTTTTAAATAAAATATTATGTCAAACACAAAATGTTTCAGCATTGTGTTTATTTATGAGGGGCAGGGAACCTGTTTTGAGTCGGGGTCACTGACCCACAGAAAAGTCAGTCGGGGCCACACAAGGGAGATGCAAAAAAAAACCCTCAAAAAAAAACCCAAGCCTCACTAATGTGGCCCCAGCTGTGCTGGTGGGTTCAGGGGACAGGGTGCTGGGGCAGGGGACAGGGTGCAAGTGGGTGCCAGGACAGGGTGCCAATGGGTGCCAGGGCGGGGTACTTGTGTGGGTCTGGGTGGGGGTGAGGGGACAGGGACCAGTACCTGGGGATCCTGCAGCTGCGTACCAAGACCCGGGAAGTGCACGGGCTGCTCCCCTGTCCCCCAAACAGCGGCACAGTACCTGAAATGCTGGTCCATCATGCCCCTGATGCCTTCCTGCATGGGGGGGAGAGAAAGTCCCGGACCACACCAGCAACAAATGTTCAGGAGGTGTGCCCCTTTCCCCTCCGCTCCCCATGGCAGCATGTGCTGACCGAGCAGCTGGAGCCAGCATGCTGGGGCCTTTACTCTCCCCTGCTGCTTTCCTGCATGGGTCAAAGGGGGAGTCCTGGACCGCACCAAGTCCAACTGCTCAGGCAGTGCGTGCTGCCATGGGGAGTGGAGGAGCAAGGCGCACGCTGCTTGAGTGGTTGGAGCTGGCGCGATCCAGGACTCCCCCTTCCCTCCTCCTCGTGGGAGGGCAGCAGGGGGATGAGGTCCCCAGCGTACCGGCTCCAGCTGCTCGGGCGGCACGCACCTTGCTCCTCCACTCCCCACGGCAGCATGCGCTGATTGAGCAGCTGGAGCCGGCACTCTGTGGACTGTATTCCCCCGCTGCTTTCCCACATATGAGGAGGGGGAGTCCCGGAGCATGCCAGCCCCAAACGCTCAGGCAGCGTGCGCCTTGCTCCGCTGCTCCCCGTGGCAGTGTGCGCCACCGGAGCAGCTGGAACCAGCGCGGTCCCGGATCCACACCCCCTCCCCCGCACGCAGGAAGGCAGCAGGGGAACAAAATCTGCAGTGTGCGACTATCATTTTAGGTACCACGCCGGCTGTTTGGGGGGGAGGGGGAGCAGTGGCACGCGTACTTCCGGGACCTGGTGCGCAGCTGCAGAACTCTTCCCCTCCCGCCCCCCCCAATTGTCCCTGGAGGTAGCATCAGTGCAGCGTGCATCTTGGGAGCAGCACAGGGGAGCCAGGGGCTGTTTGAGAGAGGGGAGGTGCAGGGGAGGCTTTGCAAGCTGCACTTTTGGGGGGCATCTCGCGAGCCTCGGCTTGGCAACCCCTGCCCTAGCACTTCAGATCAATGTCTACAGTTACACTAGCTCATGCATGCCTATTACAGTGGACCAGATCCGTGATTGGTGGGACTTTCCACTCCCCTGAGGCCAGATAAAGATTTAAGGCAAGTCACCCCAATGTTTATATGTTGAGACTAACAGTCAGGGATAAACAACTTATGTATCACCTTCCCTGTTTCATGATATGTTTGTCCTCCCCTTGTTCCTTTCCCCTGATGTTTCAGACAAAACACTGTTCATCGTTTCTGTCAAACAAGCTTATCATGTGGTAAGTGGGGGTGTTCTTGTCCATAGCTGCTAGAATGTATTTACATAGTGTGTTTTAGCAATTTTGATAGTACTGGTGCCAAGTTCATGAACTGGACAATGAACTTAGAGGCAAGCATCTGCTTTTAACAGGGCATAATATCTCTGACTTTGGCTCAGGCCTTGTACCAGATCCTGTGCTCCAGACTCTCTTCCCACTATAAATAGCATATGATGATTAAAACAAAACAGTGTAAAAGAGTTAGAAC